ATAGTACTTAAGTTCTCTTTTCCTTTGGTTATCTTTACTAAAGTGCCATTTTGATCATCAATGACTTCCTTTGAAAAATTATACTCAGAAACGCAATCAATTAATGGTGGCTCTTTAGATAGTACATTATCCTTTTCCTTTTTCAAGGAATCATTTTCAATTTAAATCATTTGCAATTCTTGCACAAGATGATGATTTTCAATTTTCAAAGAATCATTTTCCATTTGGACTTTTTCATGTCTTTGAGAGAGATTGTGATTTTCCTTTTTAAGAGAAGCACATTTCACAATCATTTTTTCTAGCACATCATGTAACTCTTTAAACACATCATGCAAGTTATTATGCTCATTAACTAACTCATTATAGGTAGCATTTAAATCAAAAGAATCATGGTTGAAATTTACCTCTTCTTCGAAGGCCATAAGATACAAGGTATTATCTCCATGATTTTTAATTTCCTCTTTGATGGCACTTACTTCTTTGGTTGAAACTTGAGGAGCTATATTCTTCTCTTGAGTTACTCCATCTTCTTTACTATAGGAGTATAAGTGAGTTCTATCAAGGGCATTCAAATGGTTAGAGATGTTAGTAGGACAAGAATGCATTTCATGATAAGATACATTGTTTTTAATGCTAAGAAAATCATATTCATTAAGGTGCATATTTAATTCCTTAACTTGACATATACCTTTATAGGTTAATTCAAGTGAGTTCCAAATATCTTTAGCCATTCTACAAATGACAATTTTATTGAACTCATTTTTGCTTAATGCACAATAGAGATAACATATAGCTATAACATGGCATTGAGTTAATCTATGCTCATTTTTAGACCATTCCCCTTTAGATTTAGGAATTTCATTTCCTTCAAAAACTTTAGTTGGGATATGATCACCATTTTCTATAACTTTCCATACATCAATATCAATACTTTCTAGAAATACCCTCATTCTAATTTTCCAATAGATATAATCGTTTCCATCAAAATAAGGAGGCATATAAATGGATTGTCCTACTAGGTGTGTGACACTACCATTGTTGGCCATGATCGTACTCTAAGACGGTTAAGTCCTTTTAAATAGTTAGGCTCTGATACCAATTGTTACACAATAATTGACTCTAGAGGGGGGGGTGAATAGAGTCAATGGCTAATTTGCGCAATTTCTAGAAATATAATTTCTAATCAACAATCTAACCAATTATGCAATAATGAAATTTAGATATGAAAGTAAACAATTTATAGCATAATTGTAAAAGAGATAAGGAAAGAGAAATTGCAAACAATAACTCGGCATTTTTAGCGAGGTTCGGAAACTCCTACTCCTCGACTCAAGATCCCTCTTGAGACTTTCCCATCCACTATGGCTTCTCCTTACGGGTGGAGAGCAAACCTTTACATGAAGCAACTCCTTACTTCACATTACTAAGAGACAACCTCTCTTAGTCTTCCTTTAGGTCACGCACCAACCCTTGTAAATTGAAACTACCTTGTGTCTTCTTCCTTGAGCCATACCAGCCCTTACAAATGAATATCAGATTTGTTGCATGCAAATATATCTCTCAAAGATTGATATACAAATCAAGGCTTACAACTAGAGTAGATATGAATATAAATAAAGCTCAATACTCTATGAAAAATATGAATGAGAGAAAATGATTTAAATGAAGAATATAAGCTCTTATAAACTCAATAGAATCTCTTAAGTGTATAATAGAGCAAAAACTATGAAGATTAAAACAAGAGGAAAAGCCCTTTTAATCCTTACTAGAATCTCTCAAGATAGTATAAGAGTGAATGATAGAGATGAAGAGAAAATGTGAGAACAAGAGCTCTCTTTGATGCCTAATGAGGTCTTTCAAGTGTTGACTCTCTTGCTTACACATAATGTCCAAACATGGTGTAATTATAGCCCCATTTCATAATATAGTCATTTAGGGGCAAAATGGTAAAGTTTCATGAAGTCAAATAGTCAAAACAACCATTAGATTCAAATTTGGGCACATGGAGTCGGCTCTATTTTGAAGGGAGTCGGCTCTATTTCATTTGAGAGGTGGCTCTACACTAGTGGAGGCGGCTCCTAAAAATGGCTGGCGGCTTTACTCCTGGAAGTGTGATTCTTGTGCTAAATTTTGTTACTGGATAGAAATGAGTCAGCTTTACTCTTCATGGAGGCGGCTCTACTCTAGTGGAGGCGGCTCTACTCCTGGAAATATGATTCTTGAGCCAAAATTTGATATTGGACAGAAAAGAGCATGACTTCAAATGGACATAATATAGTCCATTTAACTCCAAATAAGGTGAAATTTGAGTCTAACTTTATTTCCTTGAAGTCATCTTTCTATTTCCATTGGCTTTACTCAAAAATTCCAACCACAGAAATGGCTATGGCTATTTTAGTGTAACATGGTAAAATTTTTTGCAATCCAGAGACATGCATCTTGTGATGGTTATATCCCATTCAATTCAAATCCATTTTAGGTAAAAGTTGATTCTAAACTCAAAGGCTCAAAGTTAGCTTTCTAATGCCACTAGACTTACTTTAAAATTCCAACTACAAATTAGTTATAGCAGTTTTAGTACAGGTTGGTCTAGAAATTTTCTGGGCTAAAAATTACTTCTTATGAGATTGCCATCTTTCTAGCACCTTGACTTTGATGTATGATTCAATTCAATTCAAGTCTAGTTTCTAAGAGTCTAGGGACATATAAGGATGATAAATATCAAGTGCATTGTATCCTAGAGTCATTTACCAAATCATAGTAACAAAAGCTTTAAAGATGAAAGATTAAGTTCAATGTCTTACTTTTACTTTCTAGAGACCAAAATAAATCTTATGATTAATGTGCATGGTCCAAGCATTTCTAGCTTAAGTTATGAGTTCTTTCAAAGTTTATGCAAGCTTGAACTAAGTCATTCTTAGCAAAGACTTCATATGTTAAATATATATGTATTGAAGTTCATAGTCTATTGTTAATGGTCATAGGAACTTATGAATGATGTAATGATGTGCATGGTCCTATAGAGATGAGTTTCAAATGGATTCATAAATACTTTGACATTGAATCCTAAACGCTCACCAACTTATCTACCCATTTTTTTATGCTTTGTCCATGATCGTTTAAGCTTTGTGGTACTCTTGCTTTCTTTCTTTCTTTGAGTTGCTTACTTGCTCATTGTAGTCCAAGCTATCTTTGGATGGACTTTGCATTTTGTTCCTTGCAACTTTATGTTCCTTTATCTTCTTTGCTTCCATTGTTTTACTTGATGTGATCTTAAATAATGGAATACTTGGAATGATCTTTATAGGTTCATTGAGTTCATTATTTGAATGTAAATAATCTATATAATACTCAATGTAAACACTAGTCCTTAAACACCATTAATGGTTTGTTGTCATCAAAACAACTACATTGTGCTTGGATGAAATCCTTAAGGTCAACAATCTCCCCCTTTAATTTTCTTTGGTCCTATTTAACCCTATTTTTAAATCTCTTTTTGCATTCCATAATTCATTATTAAGTAGATGCAATTTTGCGGTCCCAAATGAACCAAACAATTGCCATGCTATTTCAGTCAAAATAAATGATTGGATTCCCATTTTTTAACAGGATTAGTGTCAGTAAACAAACTCCTTTAATTTTCTTTGGTCCTATTTAACCCTATTTTTCAGTTATATAAGCACTCCTAAAGGGAATTTCATGAGTAACTAATATCAACGGTTATGACTGCTTAGTGCATCTCTTTTCATAGTCTCAATTAATTGGGATCACATTTGTGAAAGATGGAGACAATAAATTATGATTGACAATTAGAGAACGATAGAGAAATAGTGAAAGAAAATAAGAAATAATCGGTTAACATGTCATTCACTTTTTCTTTCCATTAGTTCCGTACCCATTTTCGAGAAACTATAAACTGGAGTTTTTTTCTGCTAAGAATGATAGGAAACAATCTATCAAATCAAATATTATTAAATCCTTCCTGTTGCAACTTAATGGTTACAGCAGCAATTCTATGGAGTGTAGGACGTTATTACATATTATTATATAAGATAAAAATAAACTATTTCCTCCAGCTAGTTTATCCCCCAAAACTGCCACCAAAATAGGTAGATTTTATCATATCCCAAAGCAGAGGAAATTGCCAGGATGCAAATAAGATCACGGGTACCGCAAAAATAACACTTGCAGGAGCAAAAAACCATGCTTTGTTCCCACCAAAAACAAGGTAGAGTGTGGCTTCAAAGGCCACCATCATAGTTACGATGGAGATGAATATGGTTACGAGACCAGTAATCAATCTTCTAGGCAAGGTGTGAAGAAAATCAATTTCTACGTAACGCGAAGTAAGAATAGACAAGAACATTAATAAAGACAAAGTAGATGAAAAAAGAGCTAGTGCATCTGATATAATAAACACTACAATAACTTTGGTTTTTACCAGCGCTCAAAAGCACTATTAAAAGCCTTAAAAAGCGCTAGTAATTCAATTACCAGCGCTTTACCAACGCTTCTTCAAAAGCGCTGATAAATCCAGTGTCGGTAGGCCTTTACCAGCGCTTTTGGAGAAGCGCTGGTAAAGAGCCTTTACCAGCGCTTTTCCAAAAAGCGCTAGTAAAGAGCTTATGCCAGCACTTCTCCAAAAGCACTGGCATAAGGTCTTTACCAGTGCTTTTTGGAAAAGCGCTGGTAAAGGGTTATTTGAAAAAAAAAAAATTAATATTTTTTTTCCCCCTATGCCAGCGCTTTTTGGAAAAGTGCTTGTAAAGGGTTATTTGAATTTTTTTTTTTTATATATATTTTTTTCCCTATGCCATCGTTTCTTAAAAGAGCATTGGTAAAATTATTTACATTTTTTTTTTCCCATTATTGTTTTTGGAAAAAAATTTCTTCACGGCTACTAAATGCATCCTAACACAAGTCAATATAAAAATACCATCCAAATTGTTTTTACAAACAACCACAAGTTAACCCTGCCAATATGAAAAATACCATCGAAATTGACTACTAATACCACCACAAGTTAAGCTAGTAAAAAATGTATACTAATACAACCACAAGTTAACCTGCCAATATGAAAATACCATCCAAATTGTCTAGATAAAGGTACTAAATGTCACACAAAAAGAATTAAGAATTTTTAACAAATGTAATACAAGTTTTTCAAAAGAACCCATCAAGGCGAAGGAAATTCAAAAAGCACAGCCACGACCCCATCTTCAACTTCAACTTCAACAAGTCTTCTTGCCCATTTGATTTAAATTACCCTACATTTTTTATGAATTCATTAAGCGCACATTATAATAAATAAAAATTTAATATATATATAAGAGAGATTGAAAGTTCATAACCTTAACTGAATTGGCATCACGACTAGAAAATGGATTTGGAGATACTCTAGGAGGAGCATTTAAAGAATCAGAATCCTTCAAAAAAACAAAACAAAATACATGAAATCTTGGCATTAGTAAACATATATTTAGTAAAGAGTAAAACTAATAATAAATATACCTGTCCACTACAATTTTGTTGTTGCATCTGCATTAGCATAGCCACCTGTTGTTGTAAATTTTCCAACTTGTCGTAGTTGGCTCGTAAATTTTCCAACTTGTTGTCATAGTCGGCTTGCATTTTTGAAATCGTCTCCTGCAACTCTACACGTGTAACACGTGCCTCCTCCTAAGATTTTTTAGCATTATTAATCAGTTCAGCTTTACTAGGAGAGGGCCCCCAAACATCGCTTGGTGTAGGCCCGAAGCCAAGCATCCGCACACGACCAGTTCTCTCTTCACCCCTCAAAATGGAGAACAAATCATTGGAGCTGCCAATAGGCGAGTCAGAGTAACTTTTTTGAAGTTCTCTTATGTTTTCCTGCCAAAAAAAAAAAAAAAAGTTTGAACTACCATGACATACTACTATGAAACATCTAGAACTGAAAACCCTAGATTCTAAATAAAGCACAAAAGAACTGAAATCCCAACAAGCTATGAACATGTAATGCTTAAATATACATGTGCATGTATAATATATATATATACACACACACACACACACACCTAAGCTTTCATGACAAAAACAAAATGATTTAAATGAAGTAAATAGAGAAAAAAAAATCAATTTTTTATCAAATTAGTAGTTCTTTTAATACATTGTACTAAAGTATACACTTAATAAAAAAATGTAATCGAGTCGTTATAGAAGAGGAAAAATCAAATTAGTAGTCTTTTGAGGTACCAGACATTGTGCTAAAGTACACAATATGATTAAAGAAATTGCCAACTTATGAGTACTGTTGTTTATGTCTAAATTTGAATGTCCTGTCTAATTGAAAAATCTTATATAGGTAATTGGACAAAAGACTTGGTGTGCAATTATTATTATAGGACACATAATTCTATGTCTTTTATTTAATTAGATTCACTAGGCAAAAGTTTTTGCACCAAATATTATATTTTACTTTTTCCCTAGGTTATCATTTGTAGTTTCCTAAGCATTTTATGTCCTCAAATGGACAAAAATGTAGAAACCAAATGTGCTTCCTGATTCAGTAGAAAATAATTAGTATAAGATATCTATAATGCAATAGAAGGAAAAGCAAGTAAAATTGTTAGCAGAATAATTTCTCTGGATGCATTTATTCTTCCAAACACTCGCTATCCATAGAAAGAAGGAAAAAAAGGTGAAGGGTGAAATTGAATTTGAGTAATTTACTAAGGAGATGTAAAACCTCTTCTGTAATTGTGTTTCTTTCTGCCTTTAAGTTTAGTATACTTTGATGTAAATCAGCATAATTTCTTAGTGATCATGATTCGTGTGTGTGTGTGAATTTGATTTTCATGCCAAGCTTTTTGAAGATGGAAATCTTTTCAGAACTGAAAAAAAAAAAAAAAAAAAAAAAAAAAAAAAGAATCTGAATTGGATTAGAAATCTGCAGAGATTGAATCTGAAACAATTTTTATCAACATGCCAAGCTTTTTGAAGATGGAAATCTTTTCAGAACTGAAAAAAAAAAAAAAAAAAAAAAAAAAAAAAAAAAAAAAAAATCTGAATTGGATTAGAAATCTGCATAGATTGAATCTGAAACAATTTTTATCAACATGCCAAGCTTTTTGAAGATGGAAATCTTTTCAGAACTGAAAAAAAAAAAAAAAAAAAAAAAAAAAAAAAAAAAAATCTGAATTGGATTAGAAATCTGCATAGATTGAATCTGAAACAATTTTTATCAACATGCCAAGCTTTTTGAAGATGGAAATCTCTTCGGAACTGAAAAAAAAAAAAAAAAGAACAAAAAAAAAAGAATCTGAATCGGATTAGAAATCTGCAGAGATTTAATCTAAAACAATTTTTATCAACATGCCAAGCTTTTTGAAGATGGAAATCTTTTCAGAACTGAAAAAAAAAAAAGAAAAAAAGAATCTGAATTGGATTAGAAATCTTCAGAGATTGAATCTGAAACAATTTTTATCAACATGCCAAACTTTTTGAAGATGGAAATCTTTTCAGAACTGAAAAAAAAAAAAAAAAAGAAAAAAAAAATCTGAATTGGATTAGAAATCTGCAGAGATTGAATCTGAAACAATTTTTATCAACATGCCAAACTTTTTGAAGATGGAAATCTTTTCAGAACTGAAAAAAAAAAGAAAAAAAAAAATCTGAATTGGATTGGAAATCTGCAGAGATTGAATCTGAAACAATTTTTACCAACATGCCAAGTTTTTTGAAGATGGAAATCTTTTCAGAACTGAAAAAAAAAAAAAAAAAAAAAATCTAAATTGGATTAGAAATCTGCAGAGATTGAATCTGAAACAATTTTTATCAACATACCAAGCTTTTTGAACATGGAAATCTTTTCAGAACTGGAAAAAAAAAAAAAAAAAAAAAAAAAAAAAAAAAAAGAATCTGAATTGGATTAGAAATCTGCAGAGATTGAATCTGAAACAATTTTTATCAACATGCCAAGCTTTTTGAAGTTGGAAATCTTTTCAGAACTGAAAAAAAAAAAAAAAAACAGAGAATCTGAATTGGATTAGAAATCTGCAGAGATTGAATCTGAATCAATTTTTACCAACATGCCAAGTTTTTTGAAAATGGAAATCTTTTCAGAACTGAAAAAAAAAAAAAAAAAAAAAAAAAAAAAAAAAAAAAAAAATCTGAATTGGATTAGAAATCTGCAGAGATTGAATCTGAAACAATTTTTATCAACATGCCAAGCTTTTTGAAGATGGAAATCTTTTCAGAACTGAAAAAAAAAAAAAAAAAAAAAAAAAAAAGAATCTGAATTGGATTAGAAATCTACAGAGATTGAATCTAAAACAATTTTTATCAACATGCCAAGCTTTTTAAAGATGGAAATCTTTTCAGAACTGAAAAAAAAAAAAAAAGAAATCTGAATTGGATTAGAAATCTGCAGAGATTGAATCTGAAAATTGTCAACATGCTAAGCTTTTTAAAGATGGAAATCTTTTCAGAACTGAAAAAAAAAAAATCACGACTAGAACTTTATAGATCATGAACAAGTGTTTAGTGGCCTTTACATAGCTTGTATATAATATTTGAAATTGTCTACATTCAAAAGACTATTGCCACAATATATGAGTAACAAATTAACACAAACAACAAGCAACAACAAATAGCAAATACTTCTTCTCCACAATACAAATCAATCAACAAGAAGCCTCCACATACAATGATCCCATACTCCCATGCTTTTCAACAAATACAAGAAAGTAAATTGCCTCCACACGGGCCGATAATTTAAAAATTGGTCATTTCAAGGGACGTGACCCCCTAATACAGCGTAAAGAGTTTAAAAATTGGTCACTTCAAGGCACATGACCCCCTTTTTGCAAAATGGAAGCGTGAAAACTTACAATCATCTCCGAAGCAGCAGCATCAGTAGCTTTGCCATCCTTATTTACATGTGTGCGGATGAATAAATCTGCACGAAAAAGCTGAATACCTTCGTCTTCCTCAATCTATAAAAGAATACATTGTGATATATATTATTTACCACTAACATTTATAATCATTCAACGACATAAGAATTGAAATAATTTATATTTTCCATAAAAACTTCAACTAACCTCGGCAGAAACACGTGCAAAGCTTTTTGTCCCTGTAGTATGCATCATTGTCTGCTTCCCACGACGTTCTTTATTTTTTTTGCTGACCTCCTACAAAAAGTGAGAAAATGTAAAAGTTCTTTGAGTAAAGAACATTCCACTTAAAATAATGACTGAAAGCAGGTAAACTATAAATTCAACTCATTGACTTCAAAAAACATTGTTATAGGTGGAGGATTACCTTCGCCATAGGCGTACCCCAATGCCTAGCCAAAAATTCCCAATGCTCCTTTTCAACATTAGGTGGTGGGTTTGCCAATCTTTCTTCATCTGTATCCCTAACTGAGTAGTATTCATTTTTCAACTCACACTTGTACCCCCTCCATTTTTTTCCGATGGAGGATATTGTCCACTGTTTTGTCATGATTCCCACATCATATTTTCCCTGAAAATGTGATAATTGTTGTATGTTAGTCCACTTTTTCCATAAAAATTATTTTAATGTTATTGAAGGGTTTTACCTTTACAATGTTCCACATATCCTCCTTCAGCCGTTTAGGCATCTCCCACCAAGTTTTGTAGCACAAAGGAGCTAATTCACCTTTCCAGGCAAGTGTTCCCAGATAATTAGTATATGTACCACTCCCAGGACAGATCGGCTGTCCAAACTTATTAACCCTAAACAAAAATTAACAATTGTAGATGTTTAGTACAAAAATAAAGATAGAAATCCTTTTTTCTCCTTCATATTGAATGTAGTCTAATTATGTAAACTATATAAGATGATCTATATATATATGTACCTTAAAGGTAATAAGGTTTTTGCGTCTATGACATTCTTGTTGGGAAACGTGCTAGTTTTAAAAACTTTTCGAGGGATTTAAATTCATAGATCTTGATTCATCACATAGAGACAAGTTTTATGCAAAAAATAAAATAAAATATGATGTATTATTCAACTAAAAGATTGAATACTTACATCAAGGTTTGAGTAAACCTCAGATCTCTCCTCTAAAGTGAATGTTCTCACTTATTGTAGATCCCTTTTGCTAGACATCTTTTCCATGGATCTCCATCTTCTTGGTAATGGTCTTGCCTTTAGGAATCACTCATAAGCCTCCTTGAATGACCTTGGAAAACTAGGCTTGTGGGAGCCTCCATTAGATGAGAACATAAACCCTAATTTTCTAGAGAGAGAAAATTTATTCCTTTTTCCTTCTCATAAAAATCACCCCCTAAAATATACATAGACCATGTATATTTATAGGCAACATAAAAATAAAGAAAAGGAAACAACAAATCCTTCTCCATCTCTAATTCATATGTCTCAAATCTAATATGATTCCAATATCAAGTTGGGCTATGAGTGAGAATCCATTGGGCCTATTATTTTATTGGCTACAATGAATTAATAATTGGCCCGGTCCATGGACCCAATTCAATTAATTCATAAATTAATTTCTACTCCACTAAAAGAAATTAATTGAACTCCAATTAAATAATAAATAACCTCTAAGTCAATATTGCACTTTGACCCCTCTATTCATAATTAGTTATCGGATAAATATAGCCATCAATCCGACTACTTAATTAATATATTTATTTTGGTACCTTTGATTATTTCTGGCTCGATCACAATAAAACATTTGTTTGACAAAAATAATAATTTAAATAAATAAATATATAATAAATCATTTTGTCTAAAAACACACGAAGGCCTTCGAATTTACTTTGTGATCAACCATAATCAATACAAAATAAATACAAGTAGCAATGATGCAAATATTGAAAATATAACCCTCTAACTATTAATTACATAACTACCCAAAGTGTCGGTCTAAGGATCCCGAAGAATCCGCCGAACAAATCAAAGTAATTATTAATTAATAAAAGAGTCTACACTTTTCTCATGCTTAAGAGTCAAATGCCATGACGGTGATAGGGAGTAATTGCATACGACGGCTCTCACAATATATCTCAACCTAACGCGGATCCAGTTCAAGTCTTAATTAATTATGAGTCCATCCATAATTACCGACTATGAACAATTTATAATTACTATTTATATATCATGCATTGATTGCCATCACATACATATATGTAAATATTTCTTGTAATTACATGGACACTATCAATTTCATAGTGAATCGAAATATAATACATTGAATTCACCAATTATATAAATCATAAATATTTCAGATATGTCAGGAACATATGTCAATACAATCCAGATAGGAATTTGCTATGCCAGGGCATATAAATCGCAACAGCTCCCACTTGCCCTCATAGCCAATTCAAATTGCACCTAACTCCAATGTTATCCAGATGATGATCAAAATTATTGATCAATGACACCTTTGATAATGGATCAACAAAGTTGTGTTCCAATGCAATATTTTAACTACAAGTGCATTTTCTTGCCGGACAATATCATGTCGAACATGATACTTCCTCTCAGTGTATCTTGTTCCTCTATGGAACCTTGGGTCATTGGTTTGGACTACTTCTGCACTATTGTCACAATATAGCTCGATAGGCAGGCTAGTATGTTCCACAACCTCTAAATCAGTGAGATCAAACCAATAGGCTTATATTGCAACCTTTAAGGCTGCAATATGTTCCACCTGCAGGTTTGAGTCAACAGTTGAAATCTGCTTGACAATCTACCAACTGATTTCCCTTCCATTAAGTGAACATACACTAAGTCATGAACCTCATAGTATCTACTTCTGATTGAAAATCAAAACTAGCATACCTGACTAGGACCATATCATCACATCCATAAATGAGTATGATATCATTGATTCTCCTTAGGTACTTAATGATATTTTTCACAATAGACCAGTTGTCAAGTCCAGTATTGGACTGATCTCTACTGACTATCCCTACCATGTAGCGGATGTCCTGTTTGGTATAGACCATGGCATATATGAGACTCTCATATGCCGAAACATATTGTTCCAGTCTGATTTGCTCAATCTCCTCTGCTAGTCTTGAAAAACTACTTACTAGAGAGAGCGATCCATATCAATAAAGCAATAACTCATTCTTTGAGTTATGCATACCAAACCTGGTCAAAACTTTATCAATGTAAGATTATTAAGATAAGCCTATTTTCCTTTTAACCTGATCTTGCAAAAGCTTGATCCTAGGAATATAGCTTACATCTTGAAAATCCTTCATTTAAAAGTAATTGAACAACTACCTTATAATTGATGACAAAACTTCCACGTCATTATAAATGAGTAGGATGTCATCAATATATAGAATTAAGTAAAATAATGACATTCCCTTGTACACTCATGATTTATTCACTAAGAAATCTTCTGGTATCTTTTTGTAGATTAACTTGCCTTCCATAGGAATCACCCTACTAGAAAGTTCTACAAGATCCCAGAATTTATTAGAATACATAGATTCCAACTCTGATTTCATAGTAACTCACCAAAACGATCTGTATCCACATCGGTTCACGCTTCCGTGTAGCTTACTGGGTCCAACTCATGTTTAACAGGGATGTCCATAATGGTCTCACCTAAAAACATGATTCTGTCGAATTGGATGATAATCCTCCCACTACATCAATGTACCGATGCAAGAATCTGTGTAGTAGATGATGCTAACGCATCAATAGGGAATTCATATATTATTCTCAATCTCTATAATAAGTGTGTTCACATGTGGTACATCTGGTACTCATACCAAATTCTCTAACATTATGCTACTAGGTATGTGATTCATAATATGATTCTCCTATAGATAAACAGTGAGTGAAAACAATCAACTTTTATCTTTGAGATCATAAAATAATCCATCCTAGTGACATTTAGAGTAGCTATCAAATCTAGCATGCCTATGATCTGATTCCAACTTACTTGTCCATATCAAACGCACGTGTGCAAGACTACCCCATATGTGCATATGATTCAAACTAATATTTAGTCTAAAACACAGCTCAACGGTATCCTTAAGACAGACTAAGATGGAATGCAGTTCATAATGCGCATCGATGTCATTAACGCTAAACTCTTAAATGAAAGAGATAATGTGGCATTACTGATCATAGATCTAACCATGTTAAGTGGAATTCTGTTATTCCTATTTGACACCTAAATTAATTTAGCGTCAATTGCGGAAAACTGGTACACAACACCCTCATTGACCATATAGTCTTTGCACTATCCCAAGAAATACTCAAATACTCGATCAGATCGAAGTGTCTTGATAAGTTTACCTAATCTGAGCTCCACATCAGTCTTGACCCTCTCGGAATATACCAAAAGTATAAGACTTGTGTCGCAACAGGTAAATTTATCCAAAACGTGAGTAATCTTGATTGGATGTTCATAAGACTACACGTATACGTGTGTACCGACTCCAATTGTTCTTTATGTCTATTTCATTTGACTGATTAAGCCCTTAGAATTATCTATCCTTCAAAACAAGATTCACAAGTTTGGTTTAGGCTCCTCTGCCTCACTAGGTAATAAACCTTCTTTAACCAATCTTTAAATCTCATTTTGATTGATTACAACCCAAAAATAGACACCAAAAATACAATGAGTCAGGAATAACAAATTTTCTCTTAACATTCAATCTAGAAGATGCAACATTAGTTTCTACATCCTGCAAATCTTAAGAGCTTGTGATTATAGTATATTAACCATCTTTCAATACACCAGAAGCAATCACATATCTATTCAATTTTATAAAACCAGTTTTACAAAATAACGATCTAGTTTTTTTTATAAGCCAAAAGTGAAATAAGAATGAGATTACGTGTCACTTCTGTGCATAAAGATAGTTCTCTAATACTAATATCCTCATACTCTCTAATTTCAGATGTAATACTCCCACTGACTTAGTTACAACCTTGGCATCAGGTCAAAAGATAAATATATACCCATATCATCAAGGCTTCTGGATTCCTGAAATCCTTACAATAAATTGCAAACATGTTTAGTGGCTCCAGAATCTATCCATCAGGAATCAATAGATACAACCACATAACATGGCTCAATGATTAAATATATATTTTCCTATGCCACGTCATTGCTTAGACAGTTTGTCCTTTAGTGTCTTAGTTAACGGCAAAAGAAACAGTTTCATTCGCCCTTAACATACACTGCCTTATTCCCTTAACCTTTTAGATACCTATGTTTTGTGCTAGCCTAGTCCTATTATCATCCTTCTTCTTTGCTTTGCCCATCCACTTGGGCCTAGAAGAAGATGGTATAGACTAGGTTAGATTGATAGGAACGCCCATACTCTTGATTATCCCTTCTTCTGTTACCAATTCTATAAGAATATCAGCGAGTGTGAACTCAAACTGATTCCTTATTTAGTTCACTCTAACAGAGTCGAATGAGTTTGGTAACAAGGCAATAATCATGTCAACTTGAAACTTACCACCCAAGTCAGCCTTATTGATCTCCAGCTAATTTTTAAATAATAAACAATCATTTTCCAAAATTTGATTTCAAACTGGAGTTCATGAGGCTATCTTGATGGTATTTAAATTTGACACAGTACTTAGGCATATGCTCTATCTAATCTCACCAAAATATCTCATTGACATTTAATATGATGCTTGAAGAAAATAAAATAATACAAATGTTAGCTTTGGAGTATATTCGAGCTAAACTCTAGAATATTGCACCAAGTCATATCATTTGCCTTATCTAATTTATTAAAAGCATTAATGTCAAATTTGGTATCTCAAAGTAAAAGAGATAGGTATAGGAGTAATAAACACATTTTGTACCCTTACGTTGTGAATAAAATATCTAAGTTCATCTTCCAGTCATTATAAATAAGGTCCAATATCATAGAATAT